TCGGCACCCAAGATCTGCTCGTTCAGAGCATGGGCCGTGAATCATATATTTCCGTACAAGCTCAAACAATCGCAATTTACGCTCCCTGTGAGAGTCATCTTTTTCTGGATAATCTGGAAGTTCTGCTGATATAATCGCGTCTATCCTCTCTGGAGTATCCATCTTCTCTTACAAGGTAATGAGAAGATGCGCATGCGGCATCCCTCGTTTTTGAAATTCTATACTGCCATGCAAAGCTAGAACTTTTCCAAATACTTCTTTCTTTTTAGTGTCATCAATCAATTCTGTCAGAGGAAGAAGAATACACGACAACATAGGAAAGGATCAGTTATCCACGAATCGTATTTTCCAGCCAAATTGTTTTTGATCTCTGGCCATTCTTGATTTCCAGTGAATGTTATGAATAGGTCTGGTTTTTATACTCGAAGTGCATCTGACGTAGCATCAGTATACAATTTCTGATATCATTTCCTGCTTCCATTAAATAATTTCGGCATGTTCTCAAAATTTCCCAGCTTTACGCTTTTCTCTTTCTACTTTTCACTAAGAAATTTGAATAGAGCACGTGCTGTCGTAGTTTGCACCTCGGTTGGATGATTTTCAATTGCATATAGTCTATCCGTTTAAACAAGGGCAGAACTCCGCAGAACGTGTTGGGCATGATGATTACCATTCTTTATCGCCGCGAGCTAGGATGCAAAGAACAAATTGGCGACCACAAATTAATCTTGGAATTTGTGCCTGCTTCCGATAAATAGATTCTTCGTCGTTATTTGCATACATATTCTACACATTCGCAAGATCGTGAAGACCAACAAGAGAAGACTGATTGTAAGTCTTCTTAACTTCTTGTGCTACACTTTTCAGTCGATGTTATTACGGTAATACATTCTTGTCAGAATTTTGCTCATTTCGTGGAAACAATAAAGGGCGCGTAAGAGCATCGATATAACTGTAATGCGAAGCCAACGTTTTTCTACCGTGATATTCAATCAACAATCCCTGGTCCAAGTTATCGTGTGAATGCATAATATCATCCTTGCTTGGATAGATTGCTGCAATTTGATTTTCAAATAGCGGCAGTTTAAGTGTTCCTGAGTGCTTATTTCCCGTAACTGCAGGTATCTCTCGCTTTTGCTTGATGTTTATGAGAACTTTAGGATCATTGTTCGTCTCATTATTACGGCGACGTCTCCTCATTTCTTCGATATAAGTTTCATACATAGTCATGAGTTACTAGACTACTGGATTATGCTTCTTGCACACACGCATAAGTTCATGTATTAATCCAGTATTAACCGTCGTTTCCCACTGTCTCATGGTTTCTCGTAGAGATCGTTCCACCTTATGGTCGTCCGCAATGTAGAGTTGAGGAAAACTAGCTCTTTCCGAATCTTGGTTAAGATGACGTAATCCAACATCGAAGCGTCCTTGTAATACTAAAGGCCTGTGTGCACATCCTCTAGGAAAAGACTTCAGGTTCAACTGCACACCAGCGCAAGCCAGAAGATTATTCAAAGGACATATCATGTAGAAGAGATGCTCATCGTTCAAAACCGTTTCTCAAAATGACTTTAACAATGGATCTCTTGTATGATCAAATACATCCACAGGAACAGAACGATTCCAACACTCCCCGTCCTCGTAACATAAAGAATGGAATGAAAGCAGCTCAGAAGTGCAATCGTTCTCATAATTACACTCATCGCAATCCACTACAATGAGGCGTACAGCGCTGCGATTGTCGTACTTATTCCGCAAGTACTTTA